AAAAATTTGCATTTGTTTGTTCCTTGTATATGTACCGGTGTCAATCGATAAATTGGAAATGCGATTTGATTCAGGCTGTTAAATATATGTGGGCTGTGGAGTTAAATGCTTTCTTGAATAACAAAATCTTCGATAATTGGGAGTTCGATTTCACAATTCACACTTTCATTGGCGGCAGATTTGCGATTTTATGTTTGTGTGATGTAAATATGATATTCATAGATTCATAACTCTAAAATTTTGCATATAATAATTCTTCGATGAATTCAACCTCTTGTTTTGGATAGTTTTGTATCTAAGTTTATCTATTAACGTATGGATCTTTCGTTATCTTGACTAGTCTCTTAACAATTTAGTCCTTGAATTATTATTATTGTTGCAGGATTATGTTCCAACAGTTTTCGACAACTTCAGTGCAAATGTAGTTGTTGATGGCAGTACAGTCAATTTGGGTTTGTGGGATACTGCAGGTAGTTAGTTCTTTGAATACATCTTCTTTTTCGTTTTTATTTGATAGGAAAATTTCAAACGGGCTCGATCAACTTATTTCTTATTTTAAGTTTACGTCGTGAATCTCAGGTCAAGAGGATTACAATAGACTAAGGCCCTTAAGCTATCGTGGAGCTGATGTGTTCCTTCTTGCTTTCTCACTCATTAGCAAGGCCAGCTATGAAAACATTGCGAAAAAAGTTAGAACATTATCGAAAGTGTTTTGTTTTGTCTTCCATTTTTGAATTGTGGTACTCTATTTGCTAATCTTTTCTTTTTTGGTTTTGTTTAGTGGATTCCAGAACTGAGGCATTATGCCCCAGATGTTCCTATAATTCTTGTTGGGACAAAGCTCGGTAAGATTCTTTTTTAATGTTTTTATGTGTGTACACACCATGATATGCTGCTCATACTGTCCTATTTTTATCAGTTATCACTTTTCAAATTATAGAAAAATACTGATTGCATGCGAACTTTTACTCCTTGAAACTATTCTGAATTAGCGCATCCAATAGAAAGGTCTGGCATTTTTTAGGAATGTATGCAAGAATTTAACGAAAGTGATTATCGGATTTTTGCTGTTTTTGCTGTTTTTCAGTATCGACTTTTGCTTTTAGATTAAGCATATTTTGATTGGAAAATATAACGTGATTGTAGGAAAATATACCCGATCAAAGCTCATTTTTATTAACTATTTTATCAATGCTATGAAATGTTCAGTTACCAATTTTAAAAAAAAAGTTAATAAACTTCTAATTCCACTATTGGTTTGACTTGCAAAAATCACAAAATAAAAACATGCCTGCAACTTATTTACCTAAACACTTTCTTAAATCTTTTGTTTTGAGTTTTGACTTCCATCTTCAACTCATAAAAAAGTTGTATCTTTTGCTATCATCCCATTGATTTCATAAGGAAAGAATAATAACAATTTTATCATCTCTTAAAAAATGCATCTTTCATTTTTCCTTTTATTCTACCGGAAGCTCCTATTTACACTCGTTTTTTTTGTCGTTCTTTTCTTTTTTTGTTTTCTCTTTGTACACAGATCTTAGAGACGATAAGCAGTTCTTTCTCGATCATCCGGGAGCAGTTCCAATCACCACAGCCCAGGCGAGTAAACATATTCCAAACATCCATAATTTTCTCACAAATACCCGTTTAGTTTTTTCTTTTATCCCTCCATTTCATATAAACGAGCTGTTGGATTTTTTTTTTTTTTTAAAATGCAGGGAGAAGAACTCAGGAAAATGATTGGTGCCCCTATGTACATTGAGTGCAGTTCAAAAACTCAACAGGTACAATTGGGAAATTTTTCGAGGAAAAAAAAAATTCAGTTTTTTTCTGATGATAGCGTATATATACACATTTTTCGTGTTTTTCGAATGCAGAATGTGAAGACAGTGTTTGATAGTGCTATTAAGATAGTATTGCAACCTCCAAAGCAAAAGAAGAGGAAGAAGAAGAAAGGAAACAAAGGCTGTTCCATCTTGTAAAATAGTGTGATAAGGAAAGTTGTTTCGGAATTTGTGAATCTCGAAAGATTTAACATTGTTATACTTTCGAAATGTGTTTGAAGTCGATCGAGTATAGGCCCAACCGTATACTAGTTTGATGTAATATGTTGAATCGGAGGCGTACTGAGAGGTTTCACCGTAAGACTAAAGTGTGTGGACTATGAGATGTTTGATCGATGCTCGTTTAGTGCAGCTCGCCTCATGAGCAGATTTCATCGACTGAGGCTGTTGTATCTTTTATGTTCTTTTATATTTTTTCCTTTTTCTAATTCCATGTGTTCTTATCCTTTTCAATTTATTGTCATTGTGTAATTGTTCTTCGTTTTTCTTTTCAGTCTACACTGATGTCTTGAAATTGACTATGAAAATATTGTCATAGAAAATCAAATTGAGGATGGCAATGTAATTTATTGTTGTGTTTACATTTTATTTGTGTTGGTATGTTGGTTATAATTTAACCTATAATCAAAACATTTTACCCTGGACTGGTGTCCTTATGATAAACTCATCATAACACGATAGAAAAGGCAGTAGTTTTTCATCGAAAAAATTATGTAACACAAAATATGGAAAAAAAATAACAAACCATAAAAAAAAATTATTAATTTTATTTATTTTGTTCAACATCGAAAAATAATCTAACACAAAATATGCAAAAAAATAAATAAATAAATAAATAAATAACAAACCATAAAAAAACCATTAATTTAAAAAATAACAAAGCATAAAAAAAATCATTAATTTTATTTATTTTGGTGAATATTGAAAATTTGTATTATGTATTCTGATTTAGTTTGGTATACTACTTCTCGGCCAACCCACTGGACACATACCTAGATTGGATTAGATTTGAAAAAATAATTGCCAATAGTTAGCCCCTCTTTATTTTATTCTTTAATCAATTTTATTTTTCTCAATTTCTATTATTCTTTAATTAATTTTATTTTTCTTAATATCTATGAGAAAACTATCCAATCAAGTTTAATATATTTTGAATATGATGATGAGTTCAACCTTAAATAGTGGACAATTTGTTAGATACGTGCCATGATTACTTCAACCTTTATCGGTGGACAATTTGTTAGATATCTGCCATAAATTAGCAAGATCATGTAATTTGAAAAGATAAATGAAGTTTCTAAAATAATAAACAGAACTTCATTAGTTTCTCCAATCATCCAAAAAGCATCTCAAACAAAATATCACAACATAAATATCAAACCATAAGCAGAACTTCTAAAGCTAAACCTTACATCATCTACCTACAAACTTCCTTACATCCCAAGTCACTTGTAGATAAAGAAAATTTATACTGATGTAGAACGTGATACGAAAACAGGGAAGATCGAGATACTTTCTCGTAATAAAAGACACTAGATTAATTTCATAAAATTTCTTCGATCATTCTCATGTCTAACATGAGATAATAAATAGGAAATAGAGTCCACACTTGTCAAACAACTGCAAGGACATTATTTACTTACCTAGTATAGCATAAGAAATAAGGAAATAAACTTAATAAAAGGAAAGAGAAATTAAAATAAATAACGAACTAAATTCGGAGTCGATCAAATTTGTCCAAATATGCCAAGGCAGCCTCGTCTCCATCATCTACCAAGCAAACAGCTCCACGTGAAAATTAATTTAAAAATTAAGTCATATTTTCTATTTATGTTTTAGAAATTTTCATATATTTAATTATTAAATTTAGATAATTAGTTGTATTCTAATATTTTATTTCTCGACCAATCAAATAATGACAAGTGTCGAATCTTATTTCTTGGTAAATAAATCACATGTTTTTTAGAAGATCTTGGAAAGTTTAAGTAGATCTACAAGATCTTATGTAAATCATCATGAACTAATCAAATCGCGTCCTACAATTCTTAAATTTGGTAGAATTCTCTATCCTACACTTACAAATAGGGATTCTCCCTAAAGCCAAAAACACATATCATAATTCATATTTAAGTTCAATAGCTCTAGAGAATTCTCCAGACGAAATTCAAGTGTTCTTGAAATCCAAAGGCGTTCTTGAACATTCGAAACAAGATTTAAGCGCATTCAACTTCAAAACTGTTGTTTAATCCGGAAACAAGTTCTCAAGTCTTCTAATTGCATTAATAAGGTCAAAACCGGTCCAAAAAAATTCAAGATCTACTTTGCGGCGAAAACGAAAGATCCATATTCTTCGCGTTCTTGGGATGTTCTTTGGTTATATATTACAACGTTTGATGCGAAATCAAGGCATTGGCCGTCGGATTAACATTAATTCAAGCCAAATAGTCAAGGACAAATCAGGCCGGAAATTTCACTCTAAGACTTAGAATTTGTGGAAATTTCACTCTAAGATCCACAAATTTATTTGATCCGAAAAAATCATTTGTAAAATATTTTTGGTGTTTATAAATTCAATGCACGGAATCTGTTGTTACATCTATCTATCTATCTATCTATTTGAGAGTACTAGGGAGCATTGGATATAAATTAAAAATCAATTTTATTTTGTAGGATATATTCTTTTTTTCATCGAACATGTATTATATAGTATTTTGAAATAGAAAATATTTTGTCTATTTTTGTTTTTTTTCTTATCCACCACAACTGAAAAAATATAAATCAATCATGACTACACGTGTTTCAACAAATTTGACTGATCACCCACTCAAATATTTTAACTTATCATTAGTTTAGAGAATAGAGACGTTATGAAAGGCAGTTCGAAAGGGCTCAAAATCTGTAAAAAAAGGCCCAATGCTCACCCACCTGCTATTTGCAGATGACACCATTATTTTCTCAGAAGCAAACAATGACCAAGCCCTCACTCTCATTGCCATTCTCAATAAATACAAAGCTGTAACTGGCCAAAGAGTGAACCTATCCAAATCCTCCATTCATTTCAGCAAGAACACTCCTGAGTCTCTTAAATCTCAAATCTGTTCCACCCTTCTAGGGATTAAAGCCCACTCATCCACCAGATACCTTGGGCTTCCCTTAGGGATTGGAAAATCCAAGCTGGAAACTTTCTCTTTTGTGGAATCCAGAGTTAAAAACAGAATATTTAATTGGAAATCTAGCTTCTTATCCTTTGCAGGTAAAGAAGTACTGATGAAATCTACCCTGACTGCTCTACCACTTTACACTATGTCTTGTTTCTTACTGCCAAGAGCTACAACTCACAAAATCAGCCAGCACCTTGCCAACTTCTGGTGGAATAAAGGGGACATCAATAAGAAGAGTATTCACTGGCAATCCTGGAATCTCCTTACACTTCCAAAGGAGCAAGGTGGATTAGGCTTCAAGGATCTTTACCTAATGAATCAAGCTCTAATTGCAAAACAGATCTGGAGAATCCTCTCCAAGCCTAATCTCCTGGTTAGTAGGCTCTAAGAACAAGGTACTTTCCCCAAGATGATTTCTTCAGTGTTCCTAAAAAGCATAACAGCTCCTGGATGTTGAATTCTTGGTTCACAGTGAGGAAATCCCTAAGCTCTAACCTGAGATACTTGGTCAGAACAGGCACTAAAATCAACATCTGGTCCCACCCTTGGATTCCCAACATACCTGGTCGCAAGCCCTCTCCAAGACAGACAACAGACAACTCCTTCACCATGGTAGCTGATTTGATAGATTCCACAAGCAGGCACTGGAACAGAGAGGTTGTGTTAAGTTTGTTCTCAAAAGATGAATGTGATGCCATTCTCAGCTTAAAAGACCTTGATCCTACTAAAGAAGATGAGCTGATTTGGGATCATGACTGCAAGAAGAACCTGTCAGTTGCCAATGTCTACTCTAAGCTGGTCACAGAGAAATGGAGGAAGCTGGACATTGCTGAAAAGAGTTCTGAGCATGAAGAAATCTTAAGAATGAGGAAGAAAAAGCTGGGGACTAAAAATTAAAGGGAAGATTAGACATTTCATCTGGAGATGTATTGGAAACCTCAATCCAGTTCTCAGCAATCTTGTTGCTAGAGGTATTGAAGTAGACCCCATTTGTAAAATCTGTGGTGAAGAAGTAGAATCCCAAGAGCATGCCCTCTTCAAATGCCCTCGAGCTCAAATTATCTGGAAACTCTCCCCTCTGAGCTGGGATGGGATAGCACACCCTGAGCTTAATTTTAAAAACTGGTGGACCAACTTATGCTCCATCAAAAGCACCAACTCAGTCAATGAGAGGCTTCAGCTAACTGCTTGTATCCTTTGGAACATTTGGAAATCCAGGAATCAAATTGTTTTTCAAAGCATCAGAAGAAGTGAACTTCATGTTGTTTCAGCAGCCCTCAATGATTGGTCAGAATCTGCCCTTGCTTGTAGCTCTAGTATTTTAGCTTGTTAGTGTTGCTGCTTCCTGGTTTTGTTGTTTTTTTGGTTCCCTTGTTTTGGTTTTGCTGCCTGCTGGCAATAGTGGGTTTTCTTTTCTCAGGTATAGGCTAGGATCTTGGATCAGTGGTTTATACCCTTTTGTTAGGGATTAAGTGCCATACTTCGGTCCCAGAGCTGTTGTCTCTGCCGGAAGCATGACCTTAAATCCCTTAGTAGTATTATTGCTGTTTTGTCTAGAACACCACTGTTGGTGCTTCTCCATTTCCCCTTGTCGGTGTTGTAACTTCGTCGTCTGTAATTATTCCGAGCTTTATAATATCTATCGTTTCGAAAAAAAAAAAAAATCACATCAATCTTAATTATTACATTATATCTAATATTCAATCACAAACTCAAAAATAATCAATCTTCCAAATAATAATTTTATTTCATTTTTAATACTTCATTTTGCCTAGTAATTTTTTTCGAATTTTTTTATTACTTTTACCATTAAGACAAATTTGTTAAAAAACAATCTATTTGTTATAAAGGCTGTTTTTAATATATATTATATATATATATCCAATCGTAGTGACGTTAAATAAATATAAACAGTTAGGAAGTACAAAAGAAAAAACGTAACAGAATATCATGGTCCAAAATCTTTTTTTCTTTAAAAAAAAATAAAATAAAAATAAACTACGACTTTGAATAACCATTTATTTATTTAACTTCTAATTCCATCTGGAAAAATACTCCCCAGGCCTCAATTTTAAGCCACCCACTACAGCTGATCCCACACTGCTACTAAAGGCCCAGACATTCACAAAACCAGTAGGATGCATTCAAGGAACTGATAATTAATTATCTCAACAAATGATTACAAGGTAATTCTTTCTGTGCTGCTGCTGCACAAATCCAGAACCTTACGGAACACATAGAACCAAAAATTAAAAAAAAAAAAAATAATAAAATAATAATAATAATAATACAAGTTTTTTTTTTTTTATTTTATTTTATTTTACACGAAACACTTGTTATCCATATATAGAAACGAAACAAATTGATGAATCAAAAGATATCGTTGCATTTCACGAGATAACCGAAATGTCACAACTTGATGGGTTCATATTTCTCACCCATGGCACCTCCCTTTTGTTTCTGGAACTGAATATAACGTAAGGTGCTCGTGAAGAAAGAATCTGAAGTAGCGTTGGGTGTTGCACCGTCGCTCTGCATTTCGGTCTTAATCAACTCAATGAGTCCCTGAATTGCAGATGCTGTTATCTGTGGGTTCCCTTTCTCGAAAAAGTACAGATACCTGAATCGTTGTAAACAGGGCAAACATGAAAACATGAGGATAAATTGCAAATATCACTCATGACTTGTGAGAGGTTTAGCCTACTTACGAATAGGTTTAGCTACCTTTGAAATTTACCAAAAA